CTCTCTCTCTCTCTCTCTCTCTCTCTCTCTCTCTCTCTCTCTCTCTCTCTCTCTCTCTCTCTCTCTCTCTCTTGCTATGTATTATTGCTGTTCTCATGATGTCCACCGCATCACCATTTCCCAACCTGCAATCAAAGATGCATTTGTCACAAAAACACTGAGTGCCTGCGGCAGATCCACTGATTATTAAAATAATAACAGTAATTTTACTAATTTCCTCTCTTGCCTTTTTTTTCCCTTCTTTCCCTGTGCCGTTCAATTTTGCAGGGGAATTTAGAAGCTGTATTTCGTGGTGCTGATCTTGCGATAACTAAGTCGGGGAGTGTCAACTTAGAGCTTGCTCTATACAATGTGAGTGAATACAAGGCATCAGACCTAGTACTGCTATGTTGTTTTGTGCTTGCTTAACGCGCATGAATCTGGTCATAAAAACGTCCAGGTTCTCAGAAATGGAAAATGGCAGCCGCTTCCAAGTGAACCAGAAAATTAAAATTTCGTCTGCTTGGCAAGTGAATGGTTCAATAATGACGTATCATAAGTTTGATAAGAACTCTGATTCAATGAATCTGCCCTCAAACTCTGATTCAAATTCATTCAATGAATCTGGCCTAAAACTCTGATTCAAATTCATTCAAGGAATCTGCCCTCAAACTCTGATTGAAATTCATTCAATGAATTCGCCCTCAAAACTTCTGATTCAATGATTTTTTTTTATTTTTTTTTAACTCTACTCTTCTTTCAATTTTTTCCTCACACTACCTACCTACCATTACTCCTACCTATAGGCATACGGGGAAACCCGTAGCATACCAGAGCCGTGTTTTTACGGCCCCTCGAGCCTGCAGGATACCGGCCAGGGGACGGCAGGTAGCAATTTTTTGACTGCCATGTTCTTTGGGGGCTTGGCTTCCCAAACCTCTTTGGCGGGCGGCAGCGGCAGCGGCAGCCAAGAAGAAAAGAGCCAAGCGCTGCTGCAGTTAGGTTTTTTTTTTTTTTTTGCTGCAGTTAGTTGCAGCTTGGCGCGCAGCAGAAAGCCGCCACTGGGAAAAGAGGCTCGAAGGTGTGGTTGTGGTCGTTATTCTGTGAACGCTGGACGCAGATGAACCTGGACGGAGAATCGACTGCCCATACATGTGCTATTCCTCTTCTCTCCCTTCAATGCATCTATACAAGTCTCCACTTGCTTTTGCCTCCTCTTGCTTTTGCTTCCTCTTTCTTTTGCTTCCTCTTGCTTGCCGGCACCAAAAAAAAAAAAAAAACAACCTAATCAATCAATAGAAAAAAAAAAAAAACTAATCAATCAAATTGAATCAATAGTATTTTAAATTTTTAATACAATGATTAAGATTAAAAAAAACTATCCAGCGTCCTAGCTCAATTGGTTAGGCACGCAAGTGGCATTCAGGAGGTTGTGGGTTCAATCCCCATGGACGCCTGTAGCACTCTTGGTGCCAACGAACTGAGATAGCTAGCTGGATCCTCCCAGTCGGTATCGGTAAGGTCTTCAGCCAAAACGGGTGTGAGTGCGTGTGTGAGTGGGTTGCGTGTGGTGTGTGGGAGAGTGTTGGCTTTAGACACTACTGCTACTCAATGGGGGTGGGGGAAGAATCTGAAGATGAAAAGGGAGGCACAGTTACAGTTAGTGGCAAATGCTCGGTCCTTGTGTTAGCCGGGCCCCCACCCGCAGCCCCAACCCTGCACCCTAAAATGCGAGGGCAAAGGGGCAAACATGTCGTTAGCCCTCTCCACCGAGGGAGGGAACCTCCCTTCACCGAAGAGAGGTAGAAAGCTATGCTTGCAGTGGTCCCCTGTATGGCCTTAGGAGTAGTGGTAGGTAGTGGAAAGAAAGATATATTCCACGACATGGCAGAACACCAGTTAAAAGAAAGATATGTGAGGTGAGAGAAAAATATATGGCTGTCCCCCGATGAGGAGAAGGCAGCTTTCTTAAAAAAAAAAAAAAAAAAAAAAAAGATTAAAAAAAACTGTGTTACCGACCAGGCCGCAAAGGGCAGGGAAGGTCCCTGTAACTGTAAAAAGAAATTAAAAAAGGGAAAAAAAAAACGAAGAAAAAAAAGTAAAAAAAGAAACTAAAAAACGAAGAAAAAAAAGTAAAAAAAGAAACTATGTTTTTGCAGAACAATAAACTGAACAACGTTGGCCTCAGGGTTGAATTGAAATTCTCTGCCAAATTATTAATCAGTAAATCACCCCTGCTGCAGCCACAGCCAAATCGCATCCATCCTTGCCAGACGAGCAACAGACACAGCAGCCTCAGGAGGAAAATAGGTTTTATCACCGCTAGGGCGAGCCATTGCAGATCAAATCTTGCAACCGATAAAACATCCGTACTTTCAATCAGCCCTCGTCGTCGCCCGACCATAGAGAAGGAGCGATGACTGCGGAAAACCGAGAAACTTGCATGATGCCGCTCTGTGATGTCCCAGCCCACCTGAGATTCGGCTAGCGTGTGATCGATTCACATTCTTTGTGTCGTGAGGGTTACGATGGCGTGTAGGCTGATGTAACCCATGCGAGTTTTCAGCGGTGGATACTTATAAAAAAGGCAACGGCGGCTCCTCAACTGAAAATCTCCTCCAACCCAAGCACGGACTGGCCTCTTGTGTTATACTTCTTGAGTAGTCTGCTCCAGCAGTGAGTATTTAGAACCCTGTGAAGTTTGTCGCCTTTCCTCTGTTCGATTCTTTGCCCCTCCACTTCCCTCTTATACTACTACGGTACTACCCCTTCTCCCTGCCCCGCCCCTCGGTTCCTACAGAACCCATTTCCTTCCTTACTCCCTCCTCTTGTGTGCGACTAGTAAATGCCTACGCATGAGCATCATCAAACCCTAAACCGGTATGTTAAAGTTGTGGCTTGCATACTGCTGCAAGCAACAACTTTCGGACCTCGGCTGCCCGAGCAAAATCGTTGGCGGTGCCGGGCAAAAGGAGGCGCGCGCCGGCTCGTTTTTCTTTGGCGCGTGCCACGCAGTGCATTTCCTGCCTTGGAGAAAAGTGCGCCGGAAGTACTTGTGGTTTTAAACCACCAGTACACCCGGACCCGGGCATGGAGGAGCCACCGCGCGCCAAGCGTTTCCGAACTGCCAGCAGCAGACTTTTTTTTTGCTTTCTTTTCGCTGGTGTCGCCGGCCATTGTCCTCCAGTAGGCCCAAGCAGCGAAATTTTTCGGAGCAGGCGGCAAACATTTTTCTGTGAGGCTGGGGCCATGTGTACTGGCGGTTTGAGAGAACAGACAAAATATAAGCTGAAGATCTGAAGAAAAATGAACTGGAGTATACCTCCCCCTTTACTCTCCCTCCTTCATAACGTGCAAGTGGGGGGGGGGGGG